TAGGTGCTTTAGACCACCGAGCCATCTCTCCAGCCCTATTTCTTGACTTTTGTGTACATGATTTACATCTGAATTTATCCCTCTATTTCTAAATCGCTCCCTCTAATTCTAATAAGGTTGTGGTTTTCTTTTGTGGTAACACCTTTTTACTTCCAAAAGAAGGTTCACGTACCATTCCATTCCAAAGTGCAGTTTAATTCTTGTACAAGGCAAGTGGCGAGCAATGTGGGTTTCTCCCTGCCTCCTCGATCACACAGAAGTCACTTGTGCCACTCTGTGCCCTGAGAGCCCTGTCATCATAAATATTCTGCGATGGTGTGTCTGGATTTCACCCACAGCCTCACTGTCGTCTGTGGGTCTTTTCAGAGGTGGCTGGACCTATAGTGCATGAAAATGGAATGAATTCACGGTGTGATGCTCACTTTAAGGCAGCGAGCGCCACCCAGGCGTCCAGAGCAGGCTGTAAGCAGCAGAACGAGGCCCGCCGCCGAGCTGCTCGCTTCCTAGTGCCCTGCGTGCGCTGCCATCCTCTGCCGTGGCCGCTGTGCCCGCCACCAACCGCCCTCCGCGCACCGCCCGCCTCGAGCCCATGCATGATGGGTGGAAAGCTCCACCGCCCGTGAGCCAAAATAAACATTCTCTGTAAGTTTGGTTGTTGGGATTTTGGGGGGGGGGGAATTGTAATTTTTTTATTGGAAAACAAGTATACAACTTGGAATGGATTTGAGGCAAATTGTGCCATAACCAGATTTTTTTTTTTTTTTTAAGGGGCTAAACAAAGTTTAAAAAGCAAGTAACAATAAAAGAAAATGTTTCTGGTACAAGACCAGCAGTACAAACAAATAGTGTACAAGTAACCTGGACAATACACCCGTTTTGCAATTGTGCGGCTTTGAAGTACATATTGGTTTTGTTGTTGTTGTTTTGGTGGAACCAGGGATTGAACTCACACCCTTGCACTTGCGAGGGAAGCACTTATTCTCCTGAGCCATCTCCCCGGCCCCCTGAAGTACATATTGTTGACTGTCCGCAGCCACGCAGTTGCAGTTCCACGCGTCCACAGCAGCGTGCTCATGATTCCTAGGAAAACTACTTAAAGGCGTAACCCAGATGTTCCTTCACTTACTAACTCCGTCTAAGCGTAGACGTGCACAAGGGCTCCAGTAATCCAGAGTGAGCCACATGCAACGTGTTACTTGATCAGTTTTCTAAAGTAAGGTTTCAGGACAATGACAGTCAGATAAGGAAAGAAAACATGGAATGAAGTCCTAATTATGTATTTTTTTTGACGGGGGAAACTTTTTACAGATAAGTTACAAAGAAAAGGCAAATAAACAAATTTGTACAAGAAATTTAACACATTCTGTACAGTGTCTTCCCTTTGCTGTCACCATTTGTACAGACTCTTCCTAGTTTCCTTGGCCATCAGCATCAGCGTCTGCTTCCCTCATCATTTCATCAACCTCCTCCTCTGTTGACTTGGCGAAGCGCTGCTGCACTGATAAAAGCATCGCCGTCCTTATCAAATACACGGAATGCTTCTCTAATTTCTTCACTGTGCCTTTCATTTTTCATCCCATTGTCAGAAATTCAGGGAAGTCAGTTGTACCGTTACCATCCGCATCTACTTCATTAGTCATATCCTGCAACTCTGCTTCTGTGGGATTCCGCCCCAGAGACCTCACTACAGTTCCCAGCTCCTTTGTTGTTACAGTTCCCTCCCCATCCTTGTCACATAGTGAGAAAGCTCCTTTGAGTTGTGCAATCAGCTCTGCAGTCAGTTGGTCAGCCGTGCCGCAAGCGCTCCTGGTTTCCGCGACACGAACACCGCACCGCTCAACTCACTCGCTTGCTCCACTCGGACTAATTCAGTTGTTGGGAACTTTGACTCTGCAATAAGGAAAAAGAAAACGTAACTGAGGTCCATTCTATTTGCATGTGCGTCCACAGAAGCCTCGCTTCACTCTCTGTAGTCTGCCACTCTCTATGAGTAGAGCAGTGCTCTTCAGAGTAAATTTTCTAACTTTCTATACCTGAAGGAAGCTCACATTTGAATGAATGTGTAAGTGAAAAATGTTTTCTTTGGTTTTTCCATTCATTGGTGGTGCCTGTTAGCTTTGCAAACGCTTGGTGACCAGCACGTGTGACCCATAGTTTCTTCGTCTCTCCCCCTCTCCCTCCTTACGCCACCTTTCGGGTCACTGGGCCTTCGCATGCATGGTATTGGTTCCTTAGTTCATTGTCATTCTTCTTAGGCTTTCTTCTGTACAGACTGGAACTTTTCTAGCTCTCCTAATTACCACTTATAGAAGTAGCCTAGTGTTCTAGGGATTTGTCTGTGAACACAGGTTGAAGTTTCGAAATACTGGCTAAATCGAATCAGAGAAGGAGGGATCAATTCCCTGGGCAGTAAGTTGAAAAAAGGACATTTTCGTTGATGCTTTAGAGTAATTCATCAGATATTTTTCTGCTTCCTTTTTTTTTCACTTGGATTTTGATTTGTGGGCCCCTTCTGTAACCACACGTTAGTGACTTTGTAGCAGTAAAACTGGGATTAAGTAGCAGGAGAAGCAGAGTGCCCATGCTGCTGTCGCTTACGCTGAGTTCCCGTGTGACGAGTGCAGATGGCTGAGGATAAGCGTCTGATGACCGAGCCGTGATGTGAGCATTGGGAAAACTCAGCCTCAGACAAGCACTATAAAGGACAGCCTACAGTGCTCCCTGTCCTGATCTCCCTCTTCTTCCTGCAAATCCCTGTGTGACGGCGTAGGAGGCGGTGACCTTCGAGGACGTGGCTGTGAACTTCTCCCGGGAGGAGTGGGCGCTGCTGGATCCGCCCCAGAGGAAGCTCTACCGAGACGTGATGTGGGAGACCCTGAGGCACCTGGCCGCCGTAGGTGAGGAGCGTCCCGCCTTCTCGTTCATGCACTCAGAGAGCGTTGGATGGCGCGTTAGCGGTCTCCTTAATAGGAAGATGGAAATGTTTTAGTGCATCTTATAGGAATGTTCAAATTTTACTACGAATCAAACTTGAATCTGCCGACTTCCATGCGTGGTATGTCTTAATTGTATTTCTGTTTGAACATTTTAGGAAGGAGCTCAGATGACCAGCAAAGTGAAGATGAGTTCAGAAACTTCCAGAAGCGTGTAAGGTAACTGGGACTCGGGGAAGAAAGCCCGTCAGGTTGCAGAATGTGAATCGGAAGCAAACTGCACAAATGACACAGTAGTCACATGACACTGTAGTCACATGACACCGTAGTCACATCTCTTTAATCTCATCCAGTATCTCACTGAACATGTGCACATCTCTAACTGAATATAATTAGAAATATAGTATCTCAAGTGTAGGTAGTATTCATATTGTTGCTAAAACTGACCTCGTTAAAGTAATTTAATAGAAGAAGCAGCCAGATGGGTTGGTGCTTGGCTGTAATCCACACACTCCAGAAACGGAAGCAGGAAGATGCCACAAACTCCAGGCCAGATTGAGCTACATAGGAAGTTCAAGGCCAGCCTTAGAACCTGTCTGAAATTTAAAAACTTTAAAAATACAAATTTTTTCTGCCCAGATTTATAGACAGGTTAAGTGAAAGTGTATTTACATGTTAAGTAAAGGAGTATATAGAATAAGTTTTGTGTATACACTGAGCTCTAGCATATGGTTTAGTTTGGTTTTTCTACTACAGGGTCTACAGAATCTCACTATGTAAATGGGACTCAGTGATCCTTCTGTTTTTAGCCTCCCAAGTGCTGGGATTGCAGTGCAGATGTTTTGTAAAAACCACTTGCATATCATACAAATTATACATGATATTATGTGTAGTTAAATGTGATGTACACATTTTTTTTTTATGAGCAGAATATATTTATTGAGAGAAAGAAAGCTCCTGTTCAAGAGAGGGACAGGAGGGGGGCCCAAGCAGGTAGTTCCCCCTGATGTACACATTTAGCTCTTGAAAAATTGCTAATTTTGTAGATGTATTCAAATCCAAATAAATATCACTGTTTTTGATTGCATTTATTTGCAAGCAGGCCTCCAAGGTGTGTAGTCCATTGATGTTCCAAAATATTACAAGGCTCAGCCCCTTATATTGGGGCTGACTGCAGTGTGCTGCAACATCTATGGAAATGAGGACAGAGACTCCACAGAAAGGGAAAGTCTGCATTCTTTCTTATCCATCTGTAGTTTATTTTTCTATTTTTTGAGACGGGTTCTCAGTATGTAGTGCAGACTTGGCCACAAACTCACAGTAATCATCCCGCCTCATCCTCCCAAAATGACAAGCATATCAACCACACCTAACTGTATTCAACTATATTTTTATTGCATATATTCTCTACAGTGTTAATGATTTACAGTGATGCTTAACTACCCATTTGTAGCAGCACAGCTTAGAAAAGCTACACTCTGGAAAAAGCCTAAATGCCCCCTTCCCAGATGAGTTGATTAAAGAAATATGCAGGGAGATAGCTCAGTAGAATAAGCGCTTGCCTGGCTAGCACAAGGGCCTGAGTTCAATCCCCAGTTCTGCCAAAAAATAAAAAATAAAAAAAATAAAGAAATATGAGATAACCTGGGCACAGAGGGCATGCTGGGAATTGTAGGAGTCTAAGAAGCTGAAGTAGGAAGATCATACATCTGTGTTCGGCCTGCAAAGTAATGATTGAGGAGACTCATTCAAAAATAAAGTACTTGGATATATCTCAAGCTAAAACCCTGGGTTCATTTTCAAATACTAAAAAACATGCTGTGCAGACATAATATTCATATACAAAATACAAAGTATTTACACGCAAAAGAATAAACTGATGACATTCAGTATCATAAGTTATATTTTGCCGGAGCATCCCACATGAATTAAGGAGTAAACGAGAGATGGAGGCAAAGAGAGAGGCAGACATTGTGGAGTACCTGAAGAGGTTCAGTGGAAGGGGTAGGATGGAGTCATGGAGGAAAAAATTATCAAAAGTGATCAGGAACATGTTTCATAAGGATCTATTCCAGATCCTCAAAATGAAAGTATTGTGTATTGCAAATCTGTCAGTTACAAACTCCCAAGTGAACCCTATATTTTTGGTCACAGCTGTGTCCTAGTCATCATACAGTATACAGTAAGTGGATGATTAAACAATCTTGGGGGGGATCAAGACAGATCTCATGGGGAAATCATTATTAAAGGACACTATCAAATGTAATTGTTTATGTGACTTCATCTTTTCCAGAAGCGAAGAGGTAGAGAAAGCCTCTCAATATACATTATGGTATCAACATGGAGAAATGGATTCTCGGACTCCAGATACAAATGTGCACATGAAAGTTGTTGGTATAAACCCCGGTGAAAGCCTTTCCTCCATGAGGCCCCTGGCTGGTCTTTCATCAGGAGATGGGCCCATCCTGGCGAACACTGCACTCAAACGATACAGGCAGCAGGGATTTCAAGAGAAGCTGCCTACCTGTAACAAACATGGCAGGATCTACACAGAGCTCCAGTCCTTCTGGAAACATGCAAGGACAAGTCCTGGGGAAAAACCCCTTGATTATATGCCAGATGTAAAATCCTATTCTGATTACCCTGAAGAAGGTACCATTGAAGAGAAGTCAGATGTGATATTCATTACGCCTATCAATATTCAAATCAGGGAACGAAGTCACAGTGAAGTGATTACCTATATATATGTACCATTAAAAGGTTTTGATTCTTACCATGAAGTTCAGACGCATGAAAAAGCTGATTCTGGAGAAAAATCCTGTAGACACTATGTAAAGTCATTCACTAGCAGTTCGTTGGATAATCATGAAAGAATTAACATTGGAGAGAAACCCTATGCATGTAAGCAATGTGGGAAAACTTTCAGCAGAAAAGAGAATTGTCAAGAGCATGAAAGAACCCACAGTGGAGAAAAACCCTACATATGTAAGGATTGTGGGAAAGCTTTCAGCACACAAAGAAAATGTAAAGTACATGAACGGATTCACAGTGGGGAGAAACCCTATGTATGTAAGCAGTGCGGGAAAGCTTTCAGCACAAGCGGTAATTGTCGAACACATGAAAGAAATCACACTGGGGAGAAACCCTATGTATGTAAGCAGTGCGGGAAAGCTTTCAGCAAAAGTAGCACTTGTACAATCCATGAAAGAATTCACACAGGAGAGAAACCTTACGTATGTAAACAATGTGGGAAAGCTTTCACCACCCATGATATTTATCGAATACATGAAAGGACTCACACTGGGGAGAAACCCTATGTATGTAAGCAGTGTGGAAAAGCTTTCAGCAAAAGTAGTACTTGTCGAATTCATGAAAGAATTCACACTGGAGAGAAGCCCTATGTATGTAAGCAGTGTGCGAGAGCTTTCAGGACAAAAGAAGGCTGGCAAATACATGAAAGGACTCACACTGGTGAGAAACCATATGCATGTAAGCAATGTGGCAAAGCTTTCAGCACAAAGTGTGAATGTCAAACTCATGAACGGATCCACACTTCAGAGAAACCCTATGTGTGTGGACACTGTGGAAAAGCTTTTAGCAGAAAATGTAATTGTCGAGTACATGAAAGGACTCACAGTGGTACAAAACCGTATGTATGTAAGCAGTGTGGGAAAGATTTCAGAACAAAAGTAGGTTTGCAGTCGCATGAAATGTCGCACACTGGTGATAAACCCTATGAGTGTAAGCAGTGTGGCAAAACTTTCAGCACGAAGGAGTATTTCCGAACACATGTAAGAAGGCATGTTGGTGAGAAACCCTGTGCGTGTAAGCAGTGTGGCAAGGCTTTCAGCACAACCTGTGAGTTTCAAACTCATGAACAGAGTCACACTTCTGAGAAACCCTATGCATGTACACACTGCGGAAAAGCTTTTAGCCAAAAGCGTTATTGTCAAGTACATGAAAGGACTCATACTGGTGGTAACCCGTATGTATGTAAGCATTGTGGGAAAGCTTTCAGAACAAAAGTAGGTTGGCAGTCACACGAGATGACACACACTGGTGAGAAACCATATGCATGTAAGCAATGTGGCAAAACTTTCAGCACAAAGAAATATTTTAGAACACATGAAAGAAGTCACATTAGTGACAAAGCTGAGTGCGTGCAAGCAGTGTGGCAAAGCTTCCAGCACAAGGTGTGATTGTCAAACTTACGAGCAGAGTCACACTTCAGAGAAACTCTACGTACACACTGTGCAAAAGCTTTTAGCAGAAAACGTTGAGAACTTGAAAGGACTCACAATGGTGAAAAACCTTATGTATGCAGACAATGTGGGAAAGCTGTCAGCCTACATGATCATTGCCGGTGACATGAAGGATCACAGAAGTAGTTTCACATACATGAAATAAATTATGCTTGAGAAAGTATACACAAAGGAAAGGCCTCTGTAGCCATTAACAAGCCTCCCATGTATATGAACAAGGAAGAGTACGACAACTCACGGAAGTGACTTAGACGTGAATGAGACTGAGAGCCTTTTCTTGTAAACAGTATAACATCATGGATCATCACATACATGAAAAATTCATATTGAGACTTAATATGTCAGCAATGTGGGTGTTTTTTAAATTAACACAAAATACTGCACATGATAGGGAACATTACATGGAAACATAGCAAACCTTCAGTTCTTCCACGTACCTTGAAATATATGAAAGAAGTCCTATGGAAGAGAAATTCTGTTTAATGTGAGAAAGCATTTTATGATGCCCATAACATCACAAAACAAATTCTTAAGTGTCAGTATAAATACAAAAAATGAGAACTCTATTCTTTACTATTTTGAATAAAGCATGATATTGCACAGTGGAGAAAGTTCATGCCAATGTTTGTTATGTGGGAATACCTGTAGTCACTTTGGTTTCATTTATGTCACCAAAAAAAAAATTATAAGAAATTGTTAATATAAGGGTTGTACACAAGTTATTAGTTGTCCTATACGCAAGAGTGAACACTGTATCGAAACACTTCGAATGTGCAAAGGTCTCAGTTATAACTCGCGTATTCCACATCCTTTTGATCACTTTTTTTTTTTTTTTTTTTTTTTTTTTTTTTTTGGTAGAACCAGGGATTGAACTCAGACCCTTGTGCTTGCCAGGGAAGCGCTTCTTCTACTGAGCCATCTCCCCGGCCCTGATATACTCACCTCTTACATAGTTTAAACCTAAAACATACACATGCAAAGAAGATATACTAAAGTGTATATATTACAAGCTTGGCCTTAAAATAGGTCTCTGCATTAAATAATTTTAAATTCTTTAAGAATAAATAGGGGCCAGGGAGATGGCTCAGTAGAATAAGCGCTTGCCTGGTAAGCACAAGGGCCTGAGTTCAATCCCTGGTTCTGGGAAGAAAAAAAAAAAAAAAGAATAAATGTAGCCAGAGTGGTACATAAAAATGAGAACATTCCTGGGGAGATAGCTCAGTGGCCTAAGCGCCTGCCTGGCAAACTCAAGGTCCTGAGTTCAATCCCTGATACCGCCTGCTGTGCCAGCCCCAGAACCCTGGCACACTGCCAACACCAAAACTGGGCATGGTGTTGCATACCTGTTATCCCAACGCTGGGGAGGCTGAGACAGGAGGAACATTGAGTCCAAACTACATAGCAAGACCCTGTATCAAAAAAAAGGGCCGGGGAGATGGCTCCTTTGAAGAAGCGCTTCCCTGGCAAGTGCAAGGGCTTGAGTTTGATCCCCGGTTCCGCCAAAAAAGGAAAAAAAGCAATTATGTCTTGAGAAAATACGCATGTAAAAGCAATATACTAAAGTGTATATATTGTAAGCTCAGTCTTAAAATAGATCTCTGGATTAAATAATTTTAAATTCTCTTTTAAGAATAAATGTAGCCAGGAGTTGGGGTACATGCCTGTCATCTCAGTGCTTAGGAGCCTGAGGCAGGAGGACTGGTACAAGTTTGAAGCCAGCCTGGGCTACAGAGTGAGTTCACCTCAGCCTGAACTGCATAGTGAGGATTTTTTTTTTTTTTTTTTTTGGCTGGCTCGGGCTAAGGTCGGTCCAGTGCAGCATTTGGAGCTAGGGATCGAACCACGGCCCCCTGCGCCTGACTGACTTTGTCCAAGCAGGCACTTCAAACAACTGAGCTAACCTGGAAGCTTCCTGAAGTGCAGAGTGAGTCCTTGGCTCAAAAAGACAGAAACAGAGAAAGAAGAAAGAATAAACGTTGCAGCCAGGAGTAGTGATGCTTGCTGTCCTAGCCGCACTCAGGAGGCTGAGGCAGGAGGATCACTGAGTTCCAGCTAGCCCAGGACGCTGGGAGAAGCCCTACCAAGACGAGATAAATGTGCTTACATGGTTCTCATAGGCTCGTGTAAGTGGCACAGGAATTTAATTGTCCGATAAAGTACATAACAATTGTCGTTACTTTGCACTACATTTGATCCGAATACGAAGTGACCTGTATTTCTTACATGATGGTAGGCTCGTCATTTTGTTGGTTATCTTTTGTTTCCTTTTTTCATTTAGTAATTGGGAGGTAAAACAATGTTCCTTAACTATTGTCATTTTTCCATCCATTTTTTCTTTTTTTCTTTTTTTTTCTTTTTGTGGAACTGGGGATTGAACTCAGGCCCTTTTGCTTGCCAGGGAAGCACTTATTCCACTGAGCCATCTTGCCCGCCCTTCCATCCATATTTAATAATTTGCTGGATTGGCCATTCTAGCAATAATTTTTTCATTAGATGTCATTTTGGTAGAAGGTTGTTTTTTGTTTTTTTGGTTTTTTTGAGGCTGGAAATGCCTTCAGGGCATGTCTGGTGTACAGTGCCTGTCTGGGCTGGAACCCCAGAAGCTGGAGCTTGAGGGCTCTGTTTAAGCAGCACTTAAACAGCTGAGCTACTGGGCAGGTCCCCTAGATGTCATTTTGCAATTTTATTTTTTTTATTTATTTTTGCGGAACTGGGGATTGAACTCAGGCCCTTGCGCTTGCCAGGGAAGCGCTTATTCTAGAGACATCTCCCCAGCCCTGCGATTTTATTATCAATAATTTCTGTACATGTGTTTAAGTGTACATCTGTTTTTAAGCAATATGTAAATTAGCAAATACCACATTTTTGATGTAAGAAGATATCTATACATATCCTAATGTGATTACAGATTATATGCGCTGCATAAATTTCCCTGTTTTTTTCTTCAACAGAGACATTAATATCTTATATGTACATTTATTTACTTATTTAATTTTTTTATTATGATTTTTTTTGGCAGAACTGGGGATTGAACTCAGACCCTTGCGCTTGCCAGGGAAGCGCTTATTCTACTGAGCCATCTCCCCGGCCCTCATTTATTTGTTTTATATCATTTTACCTTCATGCTCATATTGCCCTCTTTTATTTGGGCCATAATTCCTCAACCCATGATCCAAGCACACGTTTTTGTGAGTCCCCCGCTGTCAGAGACCAGGAGAACCGTACATGTTCCTGAGGAGGCTACAGTGCAATCTGATAAGCTCTCCACCAGCCGTAAAAGTTGGTATTTTTGTCACCAACATTATTCTCAGAAACTTTTGACTGTTGTTTGTTTGGCCAGGCCTCTACTAGGCTTCTGTTCTTCATAAGGAAGCAGTCTTTTTATGCTTCAAATACCATTTGTGCTTTGGAAAAAAAAAATTTTAATCCTGGAAGCTCAAATTGAATATTAAAATCAAATTTGAGTAATTTTTTGTGATTTGTATGTTTTCTGTTCTTATCAACTTTAGAGGTACATGTATAGAGACTTTACATCAGTATCCACCTCTGTCTGGTCATGAAGGCTGATGTCACTTCCTCTGCATGAGTCTGAGACCACCTCACACCCTTGCCTTCTTTTGCCACTAGTGATTTCTAAAATATCCTGCATTCTTTTTTTTTTTTTTTCCTTTTTTGCTGGCTCAGCCCGCCCTGAGGGCGGGGCTGGTGCATGCAGGCCACTGAACCGCAGTCCCTTGTGCCTGCCTAAACTTGCCTAAACAGGCGTTTTAGACCACTGAGCCATCTCACCAGCCCGTCCTGCACAGTTTTGTTCTTCAGTTCAGTAAGGATTCGATCTAACACGGTTGTTGCATTCCAGTAATCCAAGGTGGAAATAAGGGCAGTACGCGGTCCTAATGTTATGGCCAGTTTGCCTCATCCTAACCCTAGGTAGTTATCCTTAGAGAATGTAGGTAGGCATCAGCTGGCCAGTGTTGTATACATTTTGTCTTTCCTTCTCTGCGATAAGATCTCACAGTATAGCCCAGAATGTCCTCAAACATCACAATGCTCAGCTTTTTATGTGCAGGAATTACAGGTATTCACATCAGGGGAAAATGTGTCTATTTTATAATGAGATGTTAAGTTTCTCATGTGGTTTATGAACTATACTAAATTGCAGAATCTAGTACTGCCTTTTATGCGCTTCAGCATGTGGCTAATTTTCCTGGAACTCGTTTCTAATTCTTATCATCATTGAAACATTGCATAGTGCAACTCCTACTCCAGCCAGAAGAAAAGTAGAAACGGAGGTCCTTTTATCCTGACCATATTTGTTCGTTAATATATCTTGCTGGTACTGGCGGTTTCTGTCTGTAATCCCCCTCAAGCACAGGGAACCCGAGATTAAAGCCAGCCTGTGTGACTCAGTGGAGAGGATGTAAAACAAAGCCTGCAGGGTGCTCCGGGTGCTAACACTCCTGGGCAGGCTCTTCTACCCGGCAGGCACCCTGCACAGGCGGTTGTGCTGGCACCTGCCAGGCGGAGGCCGGGGATCTGCGACTCCTAGAGCAACATGGACTCTCAGTGAGCTCAAGACCAGACCATATAGTGCTGCTTTAAACAACAGCAACAACAAAAATCTGTTTTACTAACCCAAAAAAAATATGTTTAACTTTCTGCAAAGCTTTATTCCAGAGGGGCTCAGTCCTTCTTGGCAGCTGCCTTCCTCATGGCGACCAGCACGTTGCTCAGCTCCTCACGCTTCCTCTTGGCGGGGATGTGCGTCCCCAACCTTTTCTTGATGAACTTGAGGGAGCGCTTGTCCTTGGAGACCTTGAGCAGCTCCATGGCGCGCTGCTGTAGGGGGCGAAGCCGCACTCCTCATGTCCCGCACAAACTCGGTGTGCTTGGTGAGGCGTCCGCGACGACAGCTGTGCCTCGGTTTGCTCACATTCTTAGTCACCTTGTGGCCCTTGTTTTTTTTTTTTTTTTTTTTTTCTTGTGGCCCTTGTTGAGGCCCACGGCCGTGGGATAGCAGAGGGCCATGGCTACTCTTCTTTGATGGTTGCTGGGGTGGAAGGCAAAGATTTATATTAATAGTCTCTACTTTGTCTAAAGCAGCATCTCCCTCAGCGGCAATTCCTGGCAACCGGGACTGGGGAAGTACGTGACCAGCATAACAGGGAATGTGGTGTGACTGTACAACAAATTGAAAGTGCAAAGTGGGTGAGAAGGCCCTGGACCAGTCAGTGTGAAGTGGGTGAGAAGGCCCTGGGCCAGTCAGTGTGAAGTGGGTGAGAAGACCCTAGACCAGTCAGTGTGAAGTGGGTGAGAAGGCCCTAGACCAGTCAGTGTGAAGTGGGTGAGAAGACCCTAGACCAGTCAGTGTGAAGTGGGTGAGAAGACCCTGGACCAGTGTGAAGTGGGTGAGAAGGCCCTGGACCAGTCAGTGTGAAGTAGGTGAGAAGGCCCTGGACCAGTGTGAAGTGGGTGAGAAGGCCCTGGACCAGTGTGAAGTGGGTGAGAAGGCCCTGGACCAGTCAGTGTGAAGTGGGTGAGAAGGCCCTGGACCAGTGAATCATGGCCGGTTCAGTGGGGGCCTCACACCGCTACACGCGCGCTATCTGAAAAGGAGTTAATTGGGATGAAGGAATAATCTTGTGAGCCCATAGGACAGCTTGTAAATCTGTCTTTGTGTAGCAGAGAAACCGTATTCTGTGTTCTTTAAAAGAAGGCTTTCACTAACCTGTCCTGAAGATGACCCATCTGGGAAAATGAAGGAAAATGCCTCCTGTTATGGGGCCTGAGCTTAAGTTTGAAGGGCAGATAAAGGGTGTGAGGGATGCAAACG